TTTTGTAGCTCGTTTGTGTCCATCTCTGATCACTGTGCAACTTTATAGTAACATTTAAACCTCTTTGTGGTCGTTTTGCATCTTGTTGACGACCTTTTGTGTCTCTATATATGATTGTAGGCACTGTACACGACAAGTGCTCATCAGGATGACCACATTTTGTACCCACAATTTGGAATTAAAAGTTCAGATACCTTATTATCTCAAGTTAATTATTATTATGATATATTTATATAGAAGTATTCCTGTGGTACTCTGGTCGCTGTTTCACTTTATACCACTTACACCACTGTGTTCTGTTGAACTTAATTGTATTTTTCCGCTTTAAAGAACAGTCCCCAATTTATAGTATTATTTTTTATTTTCTATATGGTCTGCAGGATGATGTTCAGATATTTACTCAGACGCAGCAGCTGAATTAATCCGCTCAATGTTCTTGACGGTCTTTTTTTAAATTTTAAACCTGAATGTTTAAGTTAAAACAAGAAGTGACAGAAACACGCGCACACACACACACTGGGAGTGGTCGCACTCCATCTCCAGTTTCCTGCAACAATAACAACAAACACACAAACAAACAAACAGACAGACATACAGATATGCAGGTTATTGATCCGCTGGAGGAAAGATCGATCAGCTGACGGGAATTAAAGCCGCGATCAATAACACGCTAAAAGTTTGACAGAGGGAGGAAACACACACACACACACACGCACAGTCACGCACACACACACTCAGCTGGTCGGTGGGTCCGGAGCTCCAGGCGGCTGAAGAGCGAACACTCACCGGTCATCGGTGCTCCTGTCCGGGGGCGCAGCTCCGCTCAGTCCCGCTCCGTGTGTGTTAGTGTGTCAGTGTGTGTGCGTGTGTGTGTGTGTGTGTGTGTGTCCGTCCGTCCGTGTGCGTGCGGAGGGACAGCGGATCTGTATCTCGGTGTGAGGCGGGCGGGCGGAGCTAAGGAGGAGGAAGTCCGAGAGGAGAGCGAGAGGAAGTGTTGGAGCGAGTTTGAGGAAGTTTACTGCGCGTGCGTGTGTGTGCGTGTGTGTGTGTGTACGTAACGCCGGACTTTTTGTGTTTGTTCAGTCCAGAGTTGGGAAACATTTAAAACAAAGGTTTCTACAGGGATCGTAGGAACCAATCAGAGAGCAGCTGACGTTAAGCCCCGCCCACCGCCAGTCTGACAGACAGGTGTGTGGACAGGTGAGGTCAGAGAGGAGCTCTAAACCGATACACGATCAATAGTTATATTGATAAGGCAGCTTAATAGATCACAAACAAACAGCTTTAAATGTCCTAATAAGAAATAAAGTCAGTAAATGTTCTTTAAAGAAGTTTTTTGTGTCTCTTGTTGGTCGATTTGCACCTTTGTTGTGGTTGTATGTCTTTTTGTGGTCGTTTTTGTCTCTTTGTGATCGTTTTGTGTCTCTATAGTCATTTCTGCGTGTCTTTGTGGTCGTTTTGTGTGTCTTGATGGACGTTTTGGCTCTTTGTTGAGGATTTTGTATCTTTTTTGGGGCATTCTAGTCATTTTGTGGTCGTTTTGTTTCCATTTGTGTGTGTTTTTTTGTGTGTGTGTGTGTCTCTTGTTGGTCGTTTCGCACCTTTGTTGTGGTTCGCTTTTTTGCCAAGGTTCAAGATACAAGATGAGCTTTATTTGTCATAGTTTTTGTCTCTTTGTGGTTATTTTTGTTTCTTTTGGGTGTTTTTGTGTCTCAGCGGTCATTTTGCGTCTTTTGTGAGTTGTATTTTTTGTGTCTTTCTACAGGCGTTCTGTGTCTCTTGTGGTCTCTCTCTGGTCGTTTTGTGTGTCTTGATGGACGTTTAGGCTCTTTGTTGGGGGGTTTGTTTCTTTCTTTGGGCATTCCACGTCTCTGTGTGGTTGTTTTGTGACTCTTTGAGGTCATTTTGTGTCTATTTGCTGCTGTTTTGGCTCTTTGTTGTTGTCTTTGTCTTTTTGTGGTCGTTTTGCGTCCCATTGTGATGTTTTAACATCTTTCTGTGCTCATTTATGTCTCTTTGTGGTTGTTTTGGGTCTTGTTTAGGTGTTTTTGTGCCGTTTGGTATCTTCTTGTGGTCATTTTGCGTCTCTGAGATGTTTTTGCGTTGTTCTGTGGTCACTTTGCATCTGTATGTGTTGGTTTTGTGTCTCTTTGTGGTGGTTTTGTGTCTTTCAGGTCATTCTGTGTCACTTTGTGGTCATTTTGGGTCTTTTTTAAAGTGTTTTTGCGTCTTTCTGCATTTGTGTTGTATCTTCCTGTGGTCTTTTTGTGTTTCTTTATTGTTGTTTTATTTCCCCTGTGGCATTTTTTTTTGTCTCTTTCCAGACATTTTGGCTCTTTGTTGGGGGTTTTGTGTCTTTTTTTGATCTTTGTGTGTCTGTTTGTGGTCATTTTGTGTCTGTTTGCTGTGGCTTTGAGTGTTTGTTTGCCATTTTGTGCTTCTTTGTTGTAGTTTTATGTCTTCTGTATCGTTTTGCTTCTCTTTGTGGTCACTTTGACTTTCTTTGTGATCGTTTTTCATCTCTTTGGGATATTTTTGTGGTCGTTTTGCATCTTTTTGTGCTCGTTTTGTGTCTCTGATATTGTGTATTTGTCAGCTTTCGCAGTTTGGGCACTTACAGCGATTTTACAGGAACTGCAATAAATTTAAAAGTATGTCACTGCAGATTCACGCTGCCTAAATCACTTTCTATCAGCGCTGATCTTAGCTGCACCACCTCAGTGTGGCCGCAGGGTGGCGCCATCACACCACTGAAGCAGAAAGGATGCTGCCTTCAAGTGCTGCGGGAATTCAGACCACCGGGGGCAGAAGGAGGATGATTATGAGCAGACAAATAAAAGATTCTACTTGTGCAGCAGCGATGAAACTGCTTCTTCCAGAAATGTGCAACATGTGAGTTAAAATCGGAAACAAGTCATGATTATATCAGCAGTTTTTACACGATCCTGTTGAAGATAAAACTGGAAAAATGATAATTTTACGAACATGTTGCTCCCCGTCAAACACAAATCTCTTTTTCATCTGCAGAAACTAACAGACACAACAAGTCAAACTCACAAACCTCCTCAGAACCAAAGATAATTCATACATTTTGTGTTTATGGACGTTGTTACGTTTTGTGTTGTGTTCACTGACCTGTTTTATCTCTTTGTAGTCATTTTGCGTCAGTTTGTGGTTGTTTTGTGTCTCTTTTGGTTTCTGTTTGTGTTTTCTTGTGTCCCTGTGCTTTTTTTTTTGGTCTCTTTAAGCTCAGTTTGGGTCTTTTAGTGTGTCATGTAGGCCAGTCGGTGTCTTTGTGGTTGTTTTTGTTGTTATTTGTCTGATTTGGCATCAAAATGATACCTTGCTAACTTTGCCATTTGTGTTTTTGTCATTTATTGTGTATTAATGTAGCAGTTTTGGGGGGGGGGGGTTGTGTCTTAGTTGTTTTGTGACTTTTTTTTGTCTCCTTATTGTGATTT